ATTTTAACAAGGAATGGTTTCCTCTGAAGACCTGATCAAGTATGCTCATCGAATCAGTAGCAGTAATGCTGTTGAAGCACCAGTATCATGGATGCCAGGTTTGTTCCTGAAGATCAAATTCTCTTAACCTTCTTCAGGCCCCGTCCACACTACAAAATGCAGCTTTATTTCCACAGTGAGGCCTACTGGTCACACTAATCCGTCAAAAAAAAAAAAGAGCTTTTCAAAAACTCTCTTCAAACTGGATGAATTTGAAAATGCCAGCTTTGCGTTTTAGTGTGGACGGCAAACATTTTGACAACGGAGCTTTTCAAAAGCAATGTCATCATGACAATCGTGATTTTGCTGCCAGAGTTTTGTTCAAAAACAAAATAATCCAAAATGACCAGTGAGTGTTGCATTGTCAAATTTCTCCAGCATAGTGAGGATGTAAAATATTTGGTGCATTTTCAGAGTGAAAATGCCGTTTTCAAATTTCTCTGACGCAGTGTGGATGGGGCCTCAGTGTTAACATTGCTGTGACAAAATGAGGAAATTTACACGCTTATGCTTATTTAAATACACGACCCCACAAGCTTTTAGCTTTAATTATTATCGTGTTTAAATAAAGTTTATCTATCTATCTATGCTTAGAAAGGAATTCAGCCACTCTTGTCATTTATGTTTTTATGCACACTGACTTTATGCACACTGACTTTTTTCCATGCAGATTCTCTTATTTTGTTCAAAATGCACGCTGTTAAACCTCACACTTACATGACATTTCTTTAAGGTTAATTTTCCCTGGGCTACTTGTAATTTTAGGAGATCCACGCAGGCCTTATCCTCAAGATATAGAGATGCGATCAGGATTGCTTGGTAGACTTATGGAAGGTGTTCCAAGTGAAACTGATCAGCCTGTGACCGGTGATTCAACTCTCCAAGAACTGATGCAACCCTCAGTCTCTGCATCACACGTGTCGCAACCTGTCGGTGGACTTGGTAGGTTTTATTTTAAATCAAGAATATTAAGGTGGCTCCCTATAGTTTTATGATTGCACATGCACATAAGACGAAAGCGCAAGTAATCTGCACA